AGTTAGAATTGATCTATTCCACCATGAATCTATTAATGGATTATCTACTTTCTTTGGCTCACAACCACATTCATTTCCTCGACTTTAGTTGGGTTTTTTTGGAATATTAGGTAAAAGGGTCAACATGCCCATTTTTTAATGACATATTATTAACCACGGGATCTTGATGAGTTGATATTTTAATTACAGAATCTATGAATGACAATTTTTTTTCTTTTCTCTAGATTTTCTGTCTGATTATTTCCCATTTTTCCCGTCTGTTAGATCACGCATGAAGAGATGCATTGCTATTGCTATGGCCACCTTCGATGTATATGCATTTCAACAGAAATTTGAGTCACCATTATCTATTTTCTTTTTCCATGTTGAAGTACGTGAGTTTTTTTTTTTTAAATCATGGTTAGGCCTAAAATCACGCTGATATCCTCAAAAGTAGTTGCGAAGCATCTTTATGTTTTTCTAGGAATATACCCTTTTACACAAATTTCGTTAAAGGGAAAATACATACATACATACATACATACATACATATATCAAGCGTTCTATTTTAATCTGTTTCCTTACCAGGCAAGTGTTGATAAAGATCTATAGCCAATAATTCATTTGGATGGACTAATTAAGAAGGAATCAATCAACACTCCAATATTATAAACCTTAGAGAATTTTCAGTTTGAAAGACTAATTGATTAACTAAATGGATGTGAGAATGTAGCAACCCTAGATTACTGTACTTGTCTTTTATCTCAACTTAAAAATAACTTTTCCAAAATGTCACGAATTAAATGTAGTTTATACGTGTTCATCACAAATAACGGTAATAGATTTGACGTCAGTGATGCTCCAAAATGGAAAAAAAATTAAAACATATATTGCTAGAGTAAATAAAACTTCACACGAGTCGTCTAATCCACTATTGATTTGAGGATTTAACTATTCAGTGTTTCATTAATCATCAAATCAAGAGTGGAAATGGTCGCCCGGGGAAAATTATATTCATACTGGCATTCTATGCTACTATTCATTCAAATGAAAAATTGCCAGAAGGATACCAAAGGATTTCTGAGGACTATTAATATTGGAATATATATATATATATATATATATATTAAATATATACATATATTTATTCAATTTTTGTTTTCGTTTTAAGCATTCACGAACCACAAGTGGCTCTTTGCAACTAGCAAAGATAGGCTCCAAAGGAAGATAAGGGCGCGTTTAGCAATCGGCCAAACAGTAGCTATTTATATTCTTTTGTTCCCAGATTCAATTTTGGAACAAAATTTTGTTTGGTAAATTTTTTATTCCCGGGCACAAATTTGCAAAAAATTGTTCTCAGAATCAGTTTTGGAACAGAATCAAGAAGCAAAAAAAAGTTGTTTCTTGATTTTGGGAACAAGAATCAGAAATGAAAAAGAAATTTTTTTTTCTTTTTTTTCTTGGTTTTCTTCTCTTTCTTCTTCTTCTTCTTCTTCTTCTTCCTGGCCTGTGGCCAATCGCCAGCCGTCGGTCGCCGGCGATCGGCCACAGGTCAGGGCTGGCGAGGGCGTCGCGGCCCTCGCCAGATCTAGCGTGGGCAACCCTCACCACGGCCCTTGCCCAGGCCGTTAGCCACCCTCGCCCAAGCCGCGAGCCACCCTCGCCGAATCTGGCGAGAGCGGCCCTCACCCAAGTGGCAAGGGCCGCGATGCCCTCGCCAGCCCTAGCATGTGGCCGATCGCCAGCGCCGGCGACCTGGCCATGGCCAAGGAAGGGGAAGAAAAAAAAAAAGAAATATTAAAAAATTCAAAATATTATTAAAATATTATTAATAAAAAGAAATTTTGTGGAGTTACCAAATGTATTTTTATTCTTTTTTTACTCCAAGAATATAAATTTTGGGTTGTCATCAAACACTTTCAAATGCTTAGAAATTATTCCTGGGCACAAAATAAAAAAGAATCATTTCTGAATAGAAATTATTTTTGAGAACAGAATGGTTACCCACTGCACCCTAAATGTCTTAATGTCGGGTCAAAATCAAGAAGAGAAATGGGTGTCTGCTGCCCATACGGCTGAATTATGAACTTGTCGATGCTAGCTAGGATTCTTTGGTGGGGCCCAAACTACCACCACCTCTACTAATATGTTTTGCCCCGTACACATATGACCCTCAAATTACTTATATGTGAAGAAGAATGTTAAATTGTCACACCATTTGATTAATTTAATAATTAGAGACACCCCTCTCTTCCCGTCTCTCGCAAATCCATTTAATAATACGCCGCGTATCAAAATTGATCAGCGTAACGCTTAGTCGGCGCATGTCGATTATTGGTAAATTTACTCGAGAGAAGATGAAAGTACACGATATGGGTCGAGACTTTGAAAGACGAGCTTGATGATGGAAATGGTCGTGACTTGTGAGGGGAGTTATCATGTGAAGAAGTAGGTTCCAATCAGCAAAGAACTCATCAAGTTGTCTCACCAAACAGCAAAAAGAAGAAGAATAAGAGGGGGGCAAAAGAAACCCATCAAGTTGATCGAAGTTGGTGGGGGTTAGAAATTCGAGGGAAAGGACAAATGAGAAGGGGTTCATCCGAGAGGAATCATTATGTTAAAAGCTGTGGGAGAAGTTGATTAAACGGCAAAGCCAACTACCATTCGAGAGAGATGGATAGATAGATAGAGAGAGGGATGAATAGTAGAGTAAGATTAGAGGGTGAAGTGACCAAACGGGACGTGCAAACTGAGGCTAATTAAATTAAAGACATGGGGAAAGGTTTCAGAAGAAACTAGGGCAAATTTTCTGCATTAAATTTGATGTGTTGGGTGCACGTTATTGATGCTGCTACGAGATGCAAATGTTGGTGCTATGGTCCCGTCGAGAAAGTACGTGCGCGTGCATGCACGCTTGCACTGAAAGTTGTTGCATGCGGCTACGATTAAATGATCCTAACCTTAATAATTCAGTCGAGAAATCTAACTTTGTGCCTCACAGCCTCTCGACAGACCGATGAATTACGACGGCTCCATTGTCGAACAGAAAACTACAGCTTGTGAGGGGGAACATTGCTCGTTTTGTCATCTGCTGGAGACATAGGAACAACCAACGTCTCAACTTGTTACATTATTTCAGCAGGAAACGATGGGCCTATCTTAGCTTAGGGTTCCACGCACGCTTAAAGATAGTCCACTTGCCAGTATTTTCTTTTTTTTTGAATTTGTGCTAACTTTGGATGGATCTTGAGACCCCCAGAAATCAAATCAGCGTCATTTTTTTTAATATAAGTTATTAACTATATCAAATTGGTCTCTGAGCCAGAGGTACAATCAGTCAATAAACCTAAGCACCTAATTAAAGTGACCGTGACTAAAAAAAAAATGACATACACATATAAAAAATATAGCCTTATTGGCAATTTGGTACATATCCACCATTCCCAAGTTGCTCACCGGTTGGAGTGGGATGTGCTTTTTTTGAGCTCTAATTTAGGCTGCACTAAGCCCAAGTATATATACTATTCAAAATTTTAGACTTCAAAAATGCCGGATTGACTTTCGTTTTTCTTTTTCTTTCACTTATCTCTTTTCGCCTTTTCTATAATCTAATCTTGAAACTCCCGTATTATGACTTTTTCTAAATTTGAAACGCCCGAAATTTCGTGATAGTCGAATGTACACACGTATATTTATTCCGTAATTCTTTTCCATAGTTCTCTTAAATCTAAAAAAATGCTTTCGATTTCGGCAGAGTAAAAAATGTATTATCTTTTGCTTTTGTTTAACTGTAAATAAACAGGCCCGGTTTCGAGGATTAAATAAGGTTATGGCAATTTTTATCACGGTCGCAGAAGGTCTTGACCGCAAGTTACACGGTTGAACTTTACGCCCAAATCGTGAAGTGTTCATAAGCAACAAGCAAAAAGGAACTCATGTTTGCAAGACTACGCAACACATGGAAGATTTTTCACGAGTTATACTTATTACTCGTCAACCTTGTCACCGTTTTTCTCCAAATAAAATCTTAGTCAAAATAATTTATGATTGCAATTATATTTAATTATTTGAGAATATTATGTGCGCATTTTTTTTTTTTACTTTTGCCAATTTTTAGGACAAAGGGTCACTCGTTAGAGCACTAGACGGCTATCGTTGGATGGCTTGACCGAGGAAAATTTGATTTTGTTTGACCTGGCTGCACGTAAACTTCTCTATCGAATGTACACTAATGGCTTTGTTGCCGGCCTAAGTCGCCAAATCGAAGGTAAATACAATAACACAGAACAGGAACATTATCTGGGAAAGTTCGGGACCACACGCCGAATTTTCTCACGCGACATGGTCAAACCCCAAACCTTAATTAGCGGCAGAAAGTACCGTATTCAAAGCTTAGACTATAATCTTTTCAATTTTACATAATGCTTATGTAAGAGATGATGTTTCTCTCCCTCTCTCCCTCTCTGTGATATTACTTCACATCAAGAAATTCCTATATGACCCGTAAAAGTAGCTAGATCGACGCGATAATGTTTCCAATGTTGCATATTTCTCGTAGATTTGTAATATTGTATTAGGGTTTTTTGTTGCTTTAGTATCTGCTGACACACAGTTAACCGGTCGCTAAATTCGAACCAGTGCATATGTTAACGGTCAAACAATGCTTAGGGGAAAGTTGTTGTGTTTCTTAACTATGAAATTCTCAATTTATTAATATGGTCTATCCTTGAAAAGAGAGAGTATCGACAATCGAAACGCGCGGTTAATAGCGAATGCACCAGAAGCACACCCGGTCTTTACTCAAGTTTCGTCCACCATATCCCAATAATAAAATGGGAAAACTTGTATTTGAATAAGAACAGATGGTCTTGAATAATGAACCGGGTAGGGTGGCAATATGGTAGTTTCAAGTGGAGACGTGGATAATTCACGTGAACTAAGTCCAAAAGCAATATGCAAGTTGACGATCAAGTTGCTTGGTCCGTCGTAAGTTGATTGATAGGATCACACACAACACACACACATTGGCATTAATCTCGAAGCCCAAAAGGCTTTAATTTCGTCTCCTTGTCTTATTTATTCATTTCTTTTATATCCCCCAGTTGAAGAGCAAAACCAGTGCAAGTGGACAAGAAATAAAATGAAACCCCTCTTTCTTTTCCTTTCCTCTTTACTTACTCCCATAAATACACCTACATGCATATATTTTCCTCAGAATTTTTCATGTATTCATCATTCTGCTATAAACCCTAAATTTGCTTCTCCATTCGCATACAGAGAGGGAGCCCAGAGAGATCGAAGAAATCCAGAAAATGCCTTCATCACTACAACTACATCGAATCAACCCCTCCCATCCCACCACTGTGACCGCCTCCACCGCCGCCATTGCTGCGAACTTCCACAAGCAAATTAAAGTAGTTGATGTCACGAGCCGAGCTGACGGGCTTCCTTGGTTTGAGCCGGTACCGGAATCTGTGGCCCAGTACCACACCCACGCGGTAGCCCCGAACCAGTGCTGCTCCGCTGTGGTCCAGACTGTCGACGCGCCTGTCTCCGCCGTGTGGTCCATGGTCCGCCGCTTTGACAACCCGCAGGCGTACAAGCACTTCCTCAAGAGCTGCCACGTGATAGACGGCGACGGCGATGTGGGAAGCCTCAGGGAGGTGCACGTGGTGTCGGGCCTCCCAGCGGTTTCGAGCATGGAGAGGCTCGAGATCCTTGACGACGAGCAGCATGTGATGAGTTTTAGCATTGTCGGGGGCGACCATCGGCTTGCGAACTACCGGTCGGTGACCACACTCCACTCCACGTCGGATGGGTCGGGTACGGTGGTGATCGAGTCCTATGTGGTAGATGTGCCTCACGGTAACACAAAGGAAGACGCATGCGTTTTTGTGGAAACGATCGTTAGGTGCAATTTGCAGTCTTTGGCACAGATCTTTGAGAGCTCAGCCAAGAGAAGCCAGCTAAAAGAGTCAGGATCATGATCATCATTTAAAGTTTTAATTGGTGGTCGCTTTGTTTTTGCTTCTGATACGGTTCAGGTACGCAGATCTCGGGTACCCGGCTTTGGGAATTCGGTTAGCTTATTAAGCTATCTCAGGTTGCACATGGTAGAAGAAGATAGAATATTATCACTGGTTTCTTTTCTTTTTTCCGGTCCTGTGTCAATTTGTTTCTTCTCTCTCTCTCTCTCTCTCTCTCTCTCTCTCTCTCTTTGTAGAGCGTTTCTTCATTATAATTTACCCATAGAAGAAGGGTAAGAACTCATCCTTTTATTTTTATTTTTATTTTTTTGTGGACATTACATGTCTTCTCGCTTTTACTTTTGACTTCGGGGTAATTACTAGGTTGTATTACTTTTGTAGTTTTTTGTGGATTTTAAATGGACATTGTGAATTTTCTTGCTGTTGGTAAGTTTATACTTTGCTCCCTTCTCTAAACAAACGTTATACAGACTTGGGAAAATCAATAAAACCTAGTTCTTGCATGAGGCTCTATATAAAGGAGCCAAGGGACTTGCTACTATTGCCCTTACAAACGAATGAAGATATTGTTTAGAGATAGTGCCAATATATAACTTAAACAGTCGTCCAATTGATTGCTCTCAGTGCATAGTACTAAGTAAAGGTAATAGACCTGCAGTTGCAATATCAATGCGTATGCCGACACAGTCAATAACGTCGGTAGCAAGAAACGAAGCTATGAGCCCAGGTCCAACATTAAAAATCAAAACAATCTCAGCAACACATTAACCCATAAGTATAATACTTCAATATGTATTAAGAACTCTTATTCCATAGATAGCATTTGGAGAGTTTAATATATACATGCTGAGGTTGCTCGCTAGAAGCGCGAGAGACATATGAACGAACTGTTTTCTAAAATCGAGAAAAAGATCGATGTTTCCGTTCAGATATTATTCTGTACGAACAGTCAGTTTACATCGGTGATATATATAATATATCTTCACCGGTTTTTGAAATGTTAGATACATACGACGCGAGCATTCCGGACATACGGTCCATTAAAATAAAATATATAATGCAGGTGTAAAAAAAGAAAATCCAATGTATTTACAAGCCACACGTCCTTTTGAGTTCTTTAAAGGGTGAATCCCCTAAAAAAACGCCAAACTTTAGGTCAAGTCATAAATCTGCTTCGAACTTTTTTTTGTTTCAGAAAAAATCCCAAACTTTAGGTCCAGTCCCAAATTTGCGCCGAACCTTTTTTTTGTCTCAGAAAAAACCCTAAACTTTAAGTTCAGTCCTAAATTTGACCCGAATTTTGTTTTATGTAAAAAAAAAAAGCAAATTTCAATTTTTTTTCAAAAAGTACCCCCGTGATCCAGTCTCAACTTGACGTGGCACTTCCACGTCGATAACAAATCCCCATCAACAAAGTAATGGGGCAATAGGTACAGACCGATGTCGCATTTCCACTTCAATAACAAATCAAATCAAATAAAAATTGTTGAAATTCTCCAAAATAAAACTATTCTAGGATATGAAAGTTAGGGACGATAACAAATCCATCCCAAATTTTTTTTAATTTAAAAAAAAACATAATTTTTAGGTTCAGTCCAAATTTACTCGGAACTTTTTTTTATCTAAAAAAAGCCCCATTATTTTGTTGATGTGGATTTGTTATCGACATGAAAGTGCCATGTCAAGTTGGGACTAGATAACGAGAGTATTTTTTGAAAATAAATTGAATTTTGGTGATTTTTTTTTACACAACAAAATTCGAGGCAGATTTGGGACTGGACTTAAAGTTTGGGGTTTTTTCTAAGACAAAAAAAAGTTCATGACAGATTTGAGACTAGACCTAAAGTTTGAGGTTTTTTCGGAGACAAAAAGAAAGTTCAGGGTAGATTTGGGACTTGACCTAAAATTTGAGGTTTTTTTGGGGAATTAGGTCATTCTTTAAAGCATAAATGAAAGAGCAAAGAGCCAGGGTGGCGGGATATTTTCATGGAGTCGGCAATGATATTTCTGTAGGCAAATCTGGGAAGCACAGTCATCAACAGCTGTGGAAGGAGAGAGAAAGAGCTAAAGGCAGAGAGAGGGAGGACCAAAAGAAAAACCCTGGTAGGAACTTTCCGTGCAAGTGCATGCGAGGCCATGTTGGGGTTTCATTAATGGTGTAAGGAAGAATACCAGTCTATTTATAAAAAATGAATGGGGAGGAAAGGAATCGACATCTTGCATGCAACTTGACCTCCTTAAGATAACCCAAGTTGATGTACGAAACAAGAGCAAGTTGCTTGATTTCGCTTTGCCCTTTTCCTTTCTTTATAAATATTCTCTAAGTGTTGGGGGTGGTTTTGGCAAGTGGGGGGCAAGGAGGCCTCCCCATCAATCGAGTGGTGTGGTTCCTCGTTTTTCTCTCGCGAGAATATGACCGATTCCAACCCATATTTCGTTTTTGTGTGCGCTCCACGAATGAGTTGACAACTCGAGACTTTTCGTGGAGAGAGGGAGAAAACAACTCACGAAATTTCTACCAAGAGTAATGGTCGGAATCTAACATATTCTTGTTATTGTTTGGTGCCTACTTGATTGGAGTTTCAACATTTATTGGAGCAAATTGCGTGGTCGTCGACTAGGGAGAAGAATTAATTAGATGGGAGATGCATGCCATCTCCAATCAGACAGTTTTCCAAATTTACTTCTCTTTATTGTGTGCTTCAGTAGAAAAGAAAATTGTTGCGGCGCTTTAAAATTTACTACTGATACGGGCATACAATTGAATATCGAAAAGTCCAAGATTGGCGCAGTTGGGTAGGGGCGTGAGGGATTTCCAGCGCAAGAAGTGGGCTTCGGGCCTGTTTGGTTCGGCTTTGGGGGAATGCATTTGGCAAAATGCAAATACCTTTGAGTTAAAGGGGTTTTCCGAAATGCAAGTAGTGTTTGGTAACGTGTCTTTTAAAATCACATTTGAAAACAACTTTGGTCTAAATACCGTTTGGTAAAATCTTAATTTTGTAAAGGACTTTTGCTAATATTTTTTTAAAAAAATTTTTTGGCCTGAACCAGCACCGCCGGCGACTGTCCGGCGACTGTCCGGCAGGCCAAAACGGCCGCCGGCCAACCTCCGGCGGCCAGATCTGGCCGCCGCCAGCCTCGCCTGAGGTCGGCCGACCTCCGGCGACCACCGCCTGGGGGTCGCCCGACCCCGGCGACCACCGCCTGGGGTCGCCCGACCTCACGCAGCGCTTGGGTCGCGCGATCCAGATCTGGGTCGCGACCCGAGCGCCGCCTGAGGCCGAGCGACCCCAGGCAGTGGTCGCCGGGGTCGAGCGACCTCGGCGACTGCCACCTGGGGGTCGGGCGACCTCCGGCGACCGCCGCCTGGGATCGCTGACCCCGGCGACCGCCGCTGGATCCGCTGACCTCGTGCGGTGCTGGGTCGCGCGACCCGCATCCGGGTCGCGCGACCCGAGCGCCGCTCGAGGTCGGGCGACCCTGAGCGCGGTCGCCGGGCCTCAGCGACCCAGGCGTGGTCGCCGGAGGTCGGCCGACCTCAGGCGGCGGTCGCCGGACCCTCGAGCGGCCTCCGGTGTGGCTCCTTGGGCGCGATGAACAAGAGCGGAATGAACAGTGCCACTTGCATTCCGAAAATGCTACTTCCCCAATGCTCCTTCAACCCTCCATTTAGCCAAAGGCCCTTAGGAAGCTTTGGAGATGCAATTGCATCTCCTCAAAGCTTGCAAAAAAAATTGCCAAACAAGTTTGCATTTGCCCAAGGGCCTTTAGAGCCCCAAAGCAGCATTTGAATGCTAAACCAAACAGGCCCTTCATCTGTTTGAGTCTCACCAACTACGTGCAAATTGCTACCGGTTAAGGCTAAGAGTTTGGACCTTTACCAATTTAGAGACAATTGTTGAAAAAGTCATAAGCTTATATTGTACGACGCCCAATTCAATTATAAACATTTCAATTTAGACCAAATTAAATCCAAATCTTTATGACGATTTGTCAATGTAGTCCTCCTGACCAATTTTGGCCTCAAATCGCTAATGTGGACGCCGACCATTTTACGTGGCACGACTGGCTCTGACGTGAATAGTTTTTTGTAATTTTTAGAAAAGAATTCTGAATTTTTTTATGCATTTTTATTTTTTCGTTTCTTTTCTTTTCTTTTTCTTTCACTGTTCATCTTCCCGAAAGGGCCAGTAGTGATCAATCAACTACCGGCCTTGTATATCCCCTATTTTTTTAGGAAAACAATAAAAAACAAAATATTCATAAAATTTTAAAATATATATTAATCGTCCACGTCAGCACCAGCCATGCCACATAGGTAACTAACGATGACTAGACCGCCACATCAGCTATTTCCATTCAAAATTGGCCAGAAAGATCGAATTGGTAAATCTTCAAAATGTTCCGAACTAAACTGGCCAAATTGAAAATTTTAAGACTGAATTGATAGTTATACAATAGATTTAGGACTTTTTGGATAATTTTTCTACCAATTCATGAGATTTGTAAGGTGTTTTAGGAGCTTTCAAGTAACCAGGTCTCAATTCCCGTGCCCTATATTATAAAAGAAGAATCTCAAAAATTAATAATCATTCCATTAATTGGTACCAATGGAACAAGCTCAAACACCAATCTACAAGAGCCACTTGAGGTAATTACCCTTTCACTCGGAGTGAACAAAAATAAGCTGAAACATAAGTTCATTTTTGCCATATTTGAAATATTTTGTCTGTCAAACAGATTGAGTTAGTATACACAATACTAGCAAATGTGTACATGCATTGCGCATGTAAGAAATTGACATTTAAAATATTTATAAAAAAAAACACCGGTCGAGAAATATTTCAATCATCGAATAATTGAACGAAATTAGTGATGAAAATACACAATACAAAGACATTGTACGAACATACGTGGAAAGAGAAAATTGTTTCAAAATTTAAGATCTTTGTAGGAATGTTGTCGTGGGATAGAAAAATCTTCCGATCTCAATATCACTACACGCGAGGATAAAATAAAATCATGTATTTACGCATTCGCTCACGTACACAATGCTTATAAAAATAAATAATTAAAGACAATTAGTTGAAGAAAAAAGCGACTGAGATTAATTAAAAATAAGAGTTTCCTTTTGCTTTATATAATCAATAATTATTAGACCATTGAAGCATAGTAAAAGGAAGCACTTTGGTAGCATTTGGTGGAGAGCAGCCCAAAACATCTAATCTCAGACGTGGATTGTCGACTTCATTCCTTTCTCTTTTTGCTCTCTTTTCTCTATCCCTCTTGTTTTTTCCCACATATTTTTATTTATTATTTTTATTCACATTTCTTACTTCCAAAATGTATTTTCGTGAGAAATTTACCTTCCAGCCGGGAACCCATCGTTGACGTTTCTGATATCAATTACTTGAGATCATGTCGCTTCAAATGTTAGTAGTTTGCACCACCATCCATATATTGAAAGGATAATTTCTTTGTATTGTCTAGACATGACCGAATGTTTCTGTAATTTACATTAAAGTGAAACTTCCTTTATCTGCGTAGCGATGTATACATAGCTGTACGAATTCGATCGTTAAATAGTTACTCAGAACATATCTACATTCTTCAAGTTAAGTTATGTAGATCTAATGGCGAAGTCCACCATGACCATATATCCATAGACACAATGAAATACGTAATTTCCGACGATATGCGTGTATTGGAAATATTTTTCGATAGAATCGTGATGATTTAAATAAAAGTTTGGACTCGTGATTTCCGTGCTAGTATTTACGTGACCCAGAGAAACATTTATCTCTTAGCAATCTCTAACACACCAAATTCCAATTGGTAGTATAAGAAAGAAGTGATTGACTTGAAGTCTCTTAGCAAAGTCGACTTCGATCACCCAATTGAACGGTGGGATGGTCCAAACGGAATATTCAACAAAGCCCATGAGATTGGACTTCGTGTTTTGGTCTATTAGGCCGAGCAGGGCCCATTCTAAAAAAAACCAATAGTAACCATAAAAATTAAAAATTTAAAGAAAAACTTATTTTGGAACTCGTGAATCGTGACCTCCTACCATATCTTAAAAAATAAATTCAATACTTTCAAAAAATTTCAAATTTACTATACATGAAAGCCAATTGCTGGTAGCTGCCCTTCCATTCCTTTGTCTATAGTGTTTTCCAGAAAAATAAGGAAGAAGATCAAGAACATATTCATTTGATGACAGAACCCCATTTTCTGGGCACTCCCCATGATCATCAAGGATAAAAGAGCTTAGTGAAGAGAAGCTCGTTCCAAGTATCTTGAAGGCCGGGCAAGCACCAATGCACGCAATCGGCATAGCTCGCGGGGTTGGCCAGTTGCTCGGCCGTGAGCGGATTCCACTGCTTCTTGTAGATGGAGGTGTGCGCGTCTCTGCGATAGCTTGAGAGCTGAGTGATGTTGAGGAGCGTGATGGGGACTTTGGTCTTGCTGAACACCTCCCCGATCACCCGCATCACGCTCTTCCGGCAATCCGAGCCCCAGTAGTTCGGGTCCTCGATCATCGTCGTCTCGTTGTAGCAGTTGCCGCCTGGTTCGCCGCCCCAGTCGATGCTCCTGCATACCACCACAGCGTTTGCAGAAATCGTCATCAAGATTTAGTTTGACAGATACATCGTTACATGCTACAGAAAAACGCATCGTCATGTGTATGTGCAGAATTAATACGGATTCCATTTAGTTTGTGCCAACTTTGTATTCTTATTGAATCAAATTCTGTTAGCTGAATGAAATGGAAGAAGATAGGGAATCAGAACTCACTTTCCATGTGAAGGTGACATGCTAACAAAGAAGACCCTTGTCTTTTTCGGGTCCATATTCATTTGAGCCCATCTCAACATGCTATTCATTCCCATTCTGTAAGCATCCTCTGTTGACAGCTCCACCACATCCTTCACCTCATCATCGAATGAACCTTTCCTACAGAGAAGTAAAAGTAAAACCACAATTAGATCTCCCATTTCAATTTGATTGGGTCACAAGGAAAGTCAAAAGAATGAAAAGCAAAGTCGAGACATATTAGACGAGAGACGTAGAGATATTACAGGACTTTCATCGTCAGCCCGGTCATCCACCATAGGTAGGTATTGAACACCATCATGTCGGCTCCTTTCCAATGCTTCCCATGCGTGTTGATCGACCCTTTCCTCACGATCCGATCGGATATCCTGTGAACTACTGCGTCATCTGAATTCGACTCCAGAAGAAACGGTGCCCAGTAGAATTCGATCGTCGCATTGTAATCCTATAACCGAAAGCGGATAATATGTCACAAATAAGAACGTGCCTTAATGTGAGAACATTAGTGGTTTTATGTTGGAGATCCGCAGAAACCAGTTTCGCACCTTCGCAGTGAAAACAGTGAGCGAACCGAACGTTTCCATCGATTTGGCGCCTTCAGGGATGGCTGATTGGAGAAGACAAACCATGGACACAAACTGTCCCCTATTTAGCGAATCTCCGACGAACATCATCTTCTTCCCTCTCAGTGTCTCAAGCATTAGTGTGGCATTAAAGCTGCAATCATTATTTTGGTGACAAAGTCATGAAATTTGATCATGGGAATCATAAGATGATACTGGACAATTCTGTTCACGAATCAAGTGATCTCAAACGTCGAATGATGTAGTGCCCCATTAGACACGGGCAATCAATGCCTAAGATTTTGGCCTGGATTACAATTGATCGAGTTTATGCAGGAAAAATCTTCCCAAAAAGAAAAAGTCAAGGCCTAAAAAAAGTCCGGACTTTCTTTCCTTATAAGCGAGGACTTTGACCCTCCCAAAAGGATCAAAACAAAGAAGCAAAAAGGTGGGAATAGTATAAGAAAAAAAATAGAACAAGAGATGCCTAGACGTGCAATGTGCTCAGCCTGCAGATCTTCAATACTCTCTTGGGTCCAATGCGCCATTTAATTAAAATAAGGACTTCGACGCACTATGCACGCATGTTCGATGATTCTCACAAAATTGTAAGTGGAATTTTTGCAAAATTTTCCGGCGATATCCAGATAATTATTAAAAAAAAAAACTTAGACAACAAAGGAAAGTAGGACGTATGTGAAAATCAAGAAGAAACTGGAATCTAGAGATGTTAAGTGAAGTGAATATGGTCAATTTCGTGAGAGACCACTCCTCACATCTTTCCTTTTAGAGTAGTATAGATAGGCGGAGTAGAACAATGCAAAGTCGCCAAACAAATTAATTGGCTTGGAATTGCTAAACAGAATTTGTTTTGTGGACTATGAACAAATATAACGAGGTGAGATTTAAGTTCATATGGACTTTTTAGGCATATATTCTTTGAGTAATGGAATTTACCTGGGAAGATTACAGCCATCAGGTTGCCATCTCCAGAACTGATACTCCTTATCAGGCCTTCCATGTTCTTGGCAAGTCAACTGAGGCTGGATGTACGGACAATCCGATTCTTCATAATGGGGTCGCGTCGACTTGTCCCTCACCCACCTCCCTCTGAAGATATCGCAACCTTCCTCTGTCTTCCCAATGGCAAACGGCAACGAACCTGCCTCGCCACTCTTCCTCTCTATTTAGGAAGAAAGAAAAAACATTGCCAATACAATTTGGTGAAGAACTTTTTGAACGTAAATAACTCTTATGCAAGATATATGTTAAACCGCGGCATCTAAAAGTTGTAATCTGACCCTGATGCCTCAAATGATGCAAATAAAGTTTCAAACAATGCCACGCTTAAAGTCGGAATGATCTGACGACCGAATCCTTGGTGATCGAAATGATCGTGGCTGATGGCAAACCAAGTTTTTGTACTCTACGTATACTCCAATTCTAAAGAATCTTTTGATTTTTGCAACTACTAAGAATTAATAACATGGACGAAGATGATGCAACAGTTGAATTCGGTCAGCAAACATGTGAGCTCACCGGCTGTGGACAGAAGCCAGGTCGAGACGGAGCCGAGCTGGAGCTCTTGGTTGAACATGCACATGAAGTCTTCGCCATATAGGACCGTGACGAAGAGGATGAAGGCCAATAATGTGAAGAGGTACGGAGAGAGACGTGCTTTTCTCAGCACAGAAGGAGAAGAAGATGGAGATATAGAGATGGGCGGCTTCATTATCTTAGGTCGTGTCTCTCTCAGACTCTGTGATGGAAAGCTTCTACTCAAATACAGCTGTGGATGATGAGTTGTCGCATGTTCATTACTTGGGATTTTTGAACGAGTATAGGAATGATACAAGCAATGCCAAAGGGTAATGTTCACCTGACGTGGATATGGTTGAATCTTCACGTTGATCATCTGGGAATTGAACTGGGGTCAGAGGTGTTTTCAAGTTATCTAGGGTTATGATGGAGAGGTTAAGTAAATCTCACCATCAAGTTCACATTTTCTCGCTAGAAGAAATCCTTCCACTGAACCATGCTCTCATACAGTGATTAGCCTTACTTCTATTTCCATAGCTTATACTTATAGCTGATATAATATATGCTTACATCAAGTTGATGACAGGTGAAGTGGAATGAATAGTTGCCATCACAAAAGAGGAGGGCGTGATGATGAAGAATAGCACTGACCATCAAGCTTAAAGGAAAACTATGATGTCGCTTGGCTGCTAAGGCAAGGTCACCGGAAAAGATTGCACATCATTATCATTACTTTATATATGCAACTATGTAAATACAAGCGTGTGATGTTCAAATAAAGATGAAAAGCTTTGGGACAAGTTAGGGTTTTTTATATTATATTTAATCTTCTTTCTAGAGGTTGTAGGTGAAGAAAAAAACATTTGGTGATGTTTCAGCATTAAAATGATTGGTCACTCTTTTAACTTGCTTCCTCACTCCAATAGTCATTCCCCATTAGTCAATATTCAGATCTCAAGCCACGTATATATTAAAAGGCTTAATAGCGAGATATCAACCAAAATCATAGTATAGAATTCAATGATGTTGACGTTAATAATGCACATTGAATCTTCAATTGATTCACGGAATCATTAGGAGCTCTTTAATCTATTTATGGTGCGTCGTTTGTTTTGCTAATGAGTGGTTGCACATTCATGATCGACGAGTTCTAATGATGGGACTCGGTCTCGCACAATCGACTGGTGAGATTTAGGCTGATTTTTATCTCCCTTTCATTCGCATAATCTTTTTGGTCGTTGGGTTTTCATTGTGCTCAACTACAAAAGAATTTTTTAAGTTGGATATCTAGCTCGTGACCACAAGAAAGAGTTTACCACAAGCTAGACACTACAAAAAAACCAAAATTTTGCCACGGAAAATTAGCGACGAAAAATTTTTCGTCGCTAATTTACGACAAAATTTGCGACAAAAAATAAACTCGTCGCTGATTTGCGACGAAAAAAAAAATTCGTCACTAATTTGCGACGGAATTTGCCACGAAAAATATATTCGTCGCTAATTTGCGACAGAAAAAAAAATCCGTTGCTAATTTGCGACGGAAATAACTTTGGCGGGACGTTCCTGACTATTTTTATAGTTCGTCGCTAATTAGCGATGAAAATAAACTTTCGCCGCATATTTCCAATTATTTTTATAGTTCGTCGCTAATTAGCGACGAATTCAAATTCATTGCTAATCCCATCACAAATTAGCGACGAATTTGAATCTGTCGCTAATTAGCAATGAAATTAGCGACGAACTATAAAAATAGTTGGGAATGTGCGGCGGAAGTTTATTTTCGTCGCTAAATTCGTCGCAAATTAGCGACGGAATTAGCGATGAAGTATAAAATTCGCAGCACTTTCCCAACTATTTTATTTTCGTCGCTAATTCCGTCGCTAATTAGCGATGAAATTTGCGGCTAATATTTTTTCGTCGCAAATTAGTGACGGAATTTGCGACGAAAAGTAAATTCGTCGCTAATTTGTGACGGAATTTGCCACGAAAAATATATTCGTCCCTAATTTGCGGCGGGAAAAAAAATTCGTCGCTAATTTGCGACGGAATTAGCGATGAAAATAACTTTGGCGGGACATTCCGGACTATTTTATAGTTCATCGCTAATTCCATCGCTAATTAGCGACGAAAATAAACTTTCGCCGCACATTCCCAACTATTTTTATAGTTCGTCGCTAATTAGCGACGAATTCAAATTCATCGCTAATTCCATCGCAAATTAGCGACAAATTTGATTCCGTCGCTAATTAGCGACGAAATTAGCGACAAACTATAAAAATAGTTGCGAATGTGTGGCGAAAGTTTATTTTCGTCGTTAAAGTCGTTCCAAATTAGCGATAGAATTAGCGATGAACTATAAAATTCGCGGCACGTTCCCAACTATTTTATTTTCGTCACTAATTCCGTCGCTAATTAGCGACGAATTCAAATACGTCGCTAATTTGCGACGAATTAATAAAAATTCGTCGCTAAATTCGTTCCAGAACAATGTTCGTGGCAAAAGTAAAAAAATTTTGTGCAAATTAGCGATGAATTTTGCCACGAATAAGTTCGTCGCAAATTACTAACCAAAAAAAAATTTGGTGGCAAATTAGCAACGAATTTTGCCACAAATACAGTTCGTGGCTAATTAGCCACGAATAATTAGCGACGAATTTTGCCACGAAAAATTAACGACGAATTTTGCCACGAATAATTAGCGACGAATTTTGTCACGAATACAGTTTGTGGCTAATTAGCGACGAATTTTGCCGCGAATATATTTCGTCGCAATTTAGCGACAAAAATTGAAATTTTTCGTCGCTAAATTTTTCGACGCCGAATTGGCAACGAAATTTTTTTTGTCGCAAATTCGTTTACCTACGAATTTTTCCATTTTTTTCATGGCAAAATTCGTCGCTAAAACCTACTTTTTTGTAGTGAGAATGCTAGATAATAATCAACGAACCTTATAATTTATATCATCCTAATCTAGGTTAAAATTTCTCAATTGTCGGTCCTTGGTGTGATTATAGTATTCTCTACTGTCCAGGGCCAAAAAGAAAATATATCGTAAAGAAAAATTACAAAAAAAGTCATAAACATATTGCAATTGTGCAATATCAAACACAAACATTTTTTAATGCCAATTTAGTCCTAAACCTTTTGCATTTGTACCAATTCAGTGTATCTGGCTAATTTGACTGGCCGGAGCTAACATGGACGCCGGATGTCCTACGTGGCGCAGCTAATGCTGACGTGAATAATTTTTAATAATAATTTTAATTTTTTTTCTTTTCTTTCTCTTTTTTTTCTTCCCTTCTTTATCTAGCCGATCGCCGGACCTCAGCGATCAGCTAGAGGCGAGGGTCGGGAGGTCAACCTTGTCGACCTCTGGCGAATCTTGTCCCACCGGCCACTGGCGAGGTCGACGAGGCTGACCTCGCTAGATCTAGCGAGTTCACGCCTCGCCCAGCCATGGCGAGGCTCAACTAGTGAGGGCATGGCGAGACTCCGTCACCTCATCATTGCTTGCAATGTATGTTGCCTCTCTCTCTCTCTCTCTCTCTCTCTCTCTCTCTCTCTCTCTCCATTTTTCAATTTGCTCTTGTTCGAATTGATCGTTTGAGGAATTGGTAATCAGATGTGACTGACTCTTCTTGATTAGGGCATCTGGAGTTCATTTGTTGATTCTTTCAATCTGTCAACCTCACCCTCACCCTTGCTGGTGGTTGACGAGGGCAAGCTTTGCTAGAGGCTGGTGAGCCTTGCCTTTGGCCGGTCGCCGAGGTCCAGTGACAGATTAGAGGAAGAAGGGAAGAAAAAAAAAGAGAGAAAGAAAAGAAAAAAAGGAAAAAATAATTCAAAAAAATATTAACATGTTATTAAAAATTATCCATGCCAACGTCAGTTGCGCTACGTATGATAGCCAGCTTCCATGTTAGCGTTGGCCAATCAAAATTGGTTGAATGGACCGAATTGACACAAATACAAAAAATTTAGGACTCAATTGATAAAAAAAAATAGATTTAAAATTGAATTGACATAATTGCAATAAATTTTGGACTTTTTGTTAATTTTCCCTATATCATACGCACAACAATCAATTATCTATTGTCAGAAAACTGAATAATAATAATTATTGCCAACACTTACCAAGAAAAAAGAAAAGAGGTAAATATTACCAACAGGTAGAGGTGTCAAAATGGGTCTTAAACCCATATATGACCCATTTAAAAATAAATGGGTCATATATGGGTCACTTTAATTTTAAAGAGTCAACCTTAAATGGGTTTTAAATTTTAAAGCTTAAAGATAAATGGGTCTAAATGGGTTGAGTTTGGAACCCATGTCCAACCCATCTACTAGACCCATCCACACTCTCTCTCTTTACAAAAATATTTAAAAAAATCGAAATTTAATTATTTTTATTTTTTCTCTTTTTCTTTTATTTTTTCTTTTTTCTTTTCTCTTCTTTCTTTTTCTTTTTTTTTTATTTGGCCGACCACCGGCCACCGGGACGGGACAACCTCGCCGATCTGGCGAGCCTCGAGCTCGCCCGATTCCGGCGACCTCGAGGCTCGCCCTATCCCGGCGAGGCTCCAGCCTCGCCGATCTAGCGAGACTCGAGCTCGCTGGCCTCGGGCGAGCTCTACCTCGCCGGATCTGGCGAGGTGGAGCCTCGGCTGAGGCCGGCGAGACTCGAGCTCGCCCGAGGCTGGCGAGCTCGAGCTTCGCCGGCCTTGGCCGAGGCTCAAGCCTCGCCGATATGGTGAGCCTCGAGCTCGCCTGATTCCGGCGACCTCGAGGCTCGCCCGATCCCGGCGAGGCTGGAGCCTCGGCCTCGCCAGATCGGCGAGAACGAGCTTCGCCGGCCTCCGGCGAGCTCGTCCTCGCCTGGCCGGCGACCGGTGATCGGCCAAAAATAAAGGAAAAAGAAAAAAATAAAAATAATTAAAAATTCGATTTAAAAAATAAAAAATATTAATTTTTTTTATTTTCTTAGATAATGACTTTATGAAATATATTTTCTAGAAATGTCGCATTTTTCGTAAAACAAATAGAACCTCAATTTTAAAAAAAATTATAAAAATTTTTTACTAACTTTGTATTGCATAAAATGTTTTAGCAGTATAATTTAAAAAAAAATCATAAGAAACAAGTATTCCTAGATTAGGTTAAATATAAAAGTATTTTAGCAATATGGGTCGGATCGGGTATGGGTGGGGTATGGGTCGAGTCGGGTATGGGTCGAGATATTTACACTATGAATAAATGGGTCATAAACGGGTTAATGGGTCAATTTGGGTCGGACCATTTATGACCCGACCCAAACTCGACCCGACCCACCCGTTTAACAGATCTAGCAACAGGCAACCATCAGATCTATTAAACTATAAGAGAAATGTAAATATCCTTATCTATCATCCTACGTTCGGATGAACAAGCATGTGTAACAAGTGATCCCTACTCATCAATTTGATGAGCGATGCTGTTCAATTATGCATGTGCTCAATTCATACATGTGTTACAAGCAATCACT